TCAGTTTTCATTTTCTAAAAATAAAGGGACAGACATCATAAAGCCAATATTGCAGACTTAATTTAAGATGAACCTGGTAGAGATGTTCCAGTCCTTTTTTATTTTTAGAGTAGATGGATATGAGAATGTGAATGTCCTAACTACAAATAATTTAATATGAAAGCTGTTAAAAAATATTAAAAGATTTTTATAATTTTTTTTATTTTCCAATTACTTTTGTCCTTAGAATTATTTTCATATAATTTTTGGAATAATTTTTAAACTGGCCAATCAATTACCGGAAAATGTATTTATAAAGTAAACTTTCACTTTGTTTGTTTTATTTAATATTGTATATCTAAAGTTCATCTTCCTGTTGTTAGCATGCGTTTCCCCTCTTGCTGATGTTGTTAACTTAATTTACATGATCACGCATCCATAACAAATGTGATGACAAACTTATCAAAAGAAATGTGTAAAACTTACATTGAACGAGGGGTACTGAGTTACTTGAGTTGTTGTTGTTGTTTCAACAGAAAAAAAATTTTTAAAGTTATTCTCATAATCCAATATCTTGACATATTAGTTTTTATGTATTCGAATCTGAGAAAACAAATCAGATTATAATTCAACTGCTCCCATTTCTAATATAAATTTCTTCGCTTACAGTTGCAGTTTCAGTTGATTTCCGTTCACAAATTATCCATTTTAATGTAGAAACAACTGTGACAACAAAAGCGACTGTTGTGCTTTTTATATGCCTGATTAATATCCCAAAATAGCAATTAAATAAAAATATTTTAATTTTATTTTACCATATATCAAAGTTTGCATTATTCATTAAAATCGGTCACCTTAATATTTCATAGATTATCTTTTTTATCATAGTTGAACATAAACTTTAGAACCGAGCCATTTGTCTTAATTTTAAAATAAGTAGGTTTTATTGTTTATTATATACATATTGTATACTTATAAGCTTTCTAATAATTTAAAATTTTTTATCTCTGGCCAAAGACGCCTAAATGCCACTTCTCTTTGCAATTATGTTTGTTTTCCGCTTCTTCTGACTTCTGATTAGTATTAATCGATTCTACTATTTCGTTCTTTAATAATCCCGGTCGTTCTTCTGACCATATACTATGCATTTCACCCTCTCATAACATATTGTGATGTTTCTTATTTTGTCTTATAGTTCTAGTAATGTTGGAAGATTATTGTGATTTGATAAATATCAAAAATCAAATAAATTGTATATAATTGAAGTCTACATATGCTGAGATAGCTAAAAAAATCCAAAATAATATTTTTTATATTCTTTTCTAATCAGTAACACCATTTCTTTTTAAACTAGGTTCAAAAATATGTTGTTATTTAATTTAAATATATGTTGGCATTCCAGTAGCAAATTTTAAAAAAATTTTTTTGTGTATCAATTTATCAATAATTTTTATTGCATTTAATTCTAATTTAGTATAAATTGTAAAATTTTTAGAATGGGTAAATCCAGTTATATAAGGGAAACGATAATTGCGGAGCAAAGCGACTAAAAAAATCGCTGCAAGCTATATCAGTGAATGTATAAAACCTTTGCGAATCAAAACCAGATTGCCAAACTTATTATAAATTAACTTAAACAATAATATATGCTCTACTTCGACAAGGACTTCTATATTTCCAATCAAGAATATAAAAAAAGTATGTTCCAATTCAAACTACTCTATAAAAACCTTATTTTACAATTTATACAGAGAATTTCACAGTCCTGGAACTAAGAGATTTCAGTTCGTGAGACTGAGATATTTTCTTTGAATTAAAGTGCTTTAATCTGTTTTTAATATTTTGATTTCGTTATCAATTTCCGAAATACATATCTATCATTTTGTCAACTACTTTCGCAGACGAATTAAATAACAGCAAAAATTATTAAGCTAAGTCCAACGAGGCCCGACACCTAACAAAAGTATCGGTACTGTTTATTTTACTCAGCAAGAGTATTGAACACTTAAATTACCTAGTATCGCGAAAAAGTTTGAAGTCATTACAGACTTGACCAAGGGTCGAATATAGGTAGGCGGTGTCTTACCTTAAAATACTGTTTCAAAAAGATGAGAAATCTCATTTAAAAATCAATTACCAGATAAAAATTTAATTAGATATTATAACACATGGAATCAAATAAAATTTTTGTGCAGATATATATGAATCTAAACAGATTACGTATGCGAATGCATTAAAATGTCTGACTAACCCATATATAACCCATATATATATAATATAATAAATATATAAAACATAATTGATTTGTTACATAAAAACCTGCGAAAAAATCAAAGATAAATAGTTACTTTTAATAATTTTATTAATATATATCGTTAATTAATTATTTATAACAAACTACTAACTAAAGTGAAACTTATCTTTTTTTTACTTTTAGACAACGTTGAATCAAAGCAATAAAATGTTTTCTATAAAAAACCAACCAAAGACTTTTAATGATCTCAAAACGTCATTTACATCGGACAGCACTGATCAATCATATGAGCTAAATACATATCATGTTTATAATGAATTACAATACACCTCGCAACAATTGCAACTTGAACAGCAAAGCCAGCACGTACTCCAACAACAACAGCTTCTACAACTTCAACAACAACAACAAATATCATATCAGCCGACTGCACCAATACAAATCCTGAATAATATAAACAACAACAACACAAACAACGCAACTGGCATAATTTATGGATTTCGCACACGTCATCTTTCATGCATTGAGGAAAATGATACAGACTCTTTACATTCAACTTCACACCCACAACCTTATGACTTGATGAAGGATGCGGATGAAGAATTTAAAAAGCTTGTCACGAAAGACACCAATGCAAATACGACATCTTGGCAGGCGAATGATTGTGATGTTGCAGATGATACTATAGCAATGATTGATGAGACTCGTATATATGATATGGATTATATTGATGAACTTAGCATAAGTAAAATTGAACATCAGCAACAAAATGTTGAAGAGGAATGTTTTATAAATGAAAATAATGAAGAATATTGGCAGAGCACAATTTCTGAACCTATACAACGTACAATATACACACCTGGTAATCCTGGTATCCCACCAGATATTATGACAACTTCTTGTTATGGTACGCTTAATACATCTTTTGGTAGTGAGATATCTGCAGCACCTTTGCTAATGACTACCTCTACACCTACAAAACAACAACCCATATATGCAACTCCAGATAAGCGACGTGAGTCAAATCGAAGTTTTGATTCTTCTTGTCAATCACAATCGAGTTCAATGTATGGTGGCATTGATCAAACTTATTCATTGACTTCTTCGTTGGACTTGAAGTGTATGACAAGTTCTAGTACCTTCAATAATACTATGCGAACTGCTGCTTTACCAATGGAAGTCTCATCTATATCGGATAATTTGAAAATAAATTGGGGAACAATTAGTGGTGGTAGCAATATGGCCGAAGAACTAACAGAAGAAATGGCTGCACAATGCTTAAGTGCAGCAGAGAGTGGTAAGTCATTATTTATTTGTATAAAAAATAAACTTGAATAATTAATAATTTCAAATTAATTGCAAGAAATCAAATCTTTAAACATATGTAATGTTGTAGTTTAAATATCGTTTTTAAACACTCCAAACAACTAATCATTTAAAGTATACTGAAATGAATTAAGTTGGAAATAAACTATCGACATATCCTTCAAGTTGTTTCAGTTTCTATTTAAATAATTAATTGAGTACCATATATGTGCTATTTATTTAATGGAATATGATAGTGATATCCTAAGGTTTGTGTTTAATTAGGAGTGTCCTGCTGATTAAACTAAATAATCCTAGCTAATCGAGTGAATGCCAAAATATCATCTATAATAGTAGATGAGGATAGGAAGTCACGGTATAATAATCTCCTTTTGATCTAGATCATAACCAAATAGTCACAGATAGATCTTTGTTGTTGAGATGATAACATAAGACACAGTGAGTCCTTAAATAACCTACCAAAAAAAGTTCAGGGGCGCTGAACTGTAGTTGTGAGAACGATTTGATCTGTAGTTAAGCAGTTATCAATAGTGTTGCGCCAATACAGATCTTTTTTACTGACGAGGGGCGCTGAACTGTAGTTGTGAGAACGATTTGATCTGTAGCTAAGCAGTTACCAATAGTGTTGCGCCAATACAGATCTTTTTTGGTTAGAAACTACTTTTCTAACAAAAACTTTATTGGATGTACACTTTAATGTACGATCCCGTTTTGATTCTGAGATTGTATACTGACTGAATGCCATTGAGAGTCTGCATGGACCAGAGATTATTTTGTTTTTGCTTGACAGTTGATGCAATATTTAGCTATCTTACTTATTGAACTTTGCTTATCTATCTGTTCAGATACATTTATACAGGTTGACTTGTGTAAATACCTGAATTGTGTAATCATCTGCTTGGAAGACAGTGGGCCCTACATCTAGCATGAGTTAGATTCTGGTGGTAGGACCAAAAACCCCTCATCAATTTCCTATTTTAGTTTTAGAACCGTCAGTGATTATGAACTCATTTTAATTACAGATAGAATTTTGATTTGCTTTAACTTCTATGCATATCGTTAACTGAAGGCATTTTGGTTACTCTCAAAACTGTTGTCGTTTTAATAAATATATGCATTTCACTCAATAGTAAAATGAACATGTATGACTTTTATACTGTATAAAACAAAAATTATATTTTAATCGTCATGCAATAAACAGCAATGTATTATCTACTCTCATTGAATTGGAATTTTACCATATTGTGTCATTAACATTTAACATCTATATGTAAAAAAAAAATTTACGCACTTTCGAAAAAAAATTTGAAGAATAAGTTTCAATTAATTGAAGGAGAAATAAAAAAAAATGGATATATATAAGTTATTATAAGTAAATCTTAAAATAAAATTAATTAAAAACACTTTTCCATTTTTTATCATTCAATAAAAAAACAAAAAATAAAATATATAGTTAATATTTATTGTATTTGTTAATACCTCGATGATTCTTAGGTAAACTCATTACTTGTAAACTATTATTTATAATTTGGAACTACATGGGTCTATTCCAATTGGTGTTATATTGGATATTTGTGTATTAATAGTCAGGGTCTTTATTTGCTGCTTGGACCATATGGACGACCACCATATGGATTACCACCATGAGGATTATTGTCATATGGACTACCACCATATGGACTACCACCTTGTGGATTGTTGTCATATGGACTACCACCATGTGGATTATTGTCATATGGACTACCACCATGTGGATTATCGTCATATGGACTACCACCGTATGGATTACCACCATGTGGATTATCGTCATATGGACTACCACCATATGGACTACCACCATGTGGATTATTGTCATATGGACTGCCACCATATGGACCACCACCTTGGGGATTATTGTCATATGGACTACCACCATATGGACTGCCAGCATGAGGATTATTGTCATATGGACTACCACCATATGGACTACCAGCATGAGGATTATTGTCATATGGACTACCACCATACGGACTATCTTCATATGGACTACCACCATATTCATCGTTGTCATATTGTTCGTCATACTCCTCATATGGATTACCGCCATATTCAAGATCTTCATACACTTCCCCATACTCATCATATGGACTTTCGTCATATACCATCTCGTACACATATATTACTTCATCATATAGTATATCATCATATTCATGTTCGTCATCATATGATGTTTTTTCATAACTTCCTCCACCATATGGACTATGACCATATGCACTATCATCATATGCTGATCCACCACGTCCTATATTTACGTATCCTGCTCTTCCATGCGGCCCTTCGTTTGAAAATTGTGCAGCTTAAAAAAAAATACGATTTAATTTAAAGTAAATTGTTGAAAATATTTTTTCTCACCCACGCAGGTAACCGCGATTATCAAAACAAATAAACATTGTGTTCCTGCATTCATGTTGGTAACAATATTAAAAATTGAATATTCAATGCTACCTTTTATAGAAACTTGTGAACACAATCAAAGTTTGTCACAACTGTTTTTAAATTTGACAAATTTTTTAATTATTAAGTTATTATCTTTACGATTTTAAATTCGAATTTCATTTTTAAAAACAGAAAATTCAATTCACTTATATAATTATTTTTCTTTCAAACCAATTACAGAATTTAATGAGTTTGAATTGAGTTTTATTTACTGACTCGATAATTAAACTTAAGTCTTTGTTAATCTATTAAGTTATAGATGTAAAGCAATATAAAGTACCATATAATTTTTTATTATATATATATTTATATAATTAGCATATAACACTAACTCAGCATCTAAACTGTAAGTTTAGGATACACTTGTAAACCTTCACAAACACTTGCAAGTTTTCGCTTGCATTTCTAATTCACAAAAAAATACGTATGGGCAATTGAAAAAAAATCATCAAAGTCCAGTCAACGTAAACTCTTATTAATACATACTATAAATAAATTTGTCTTCTCCAGACCATCTACATACTTAGTCCACTATAAGGAAATTATACTTTATTTTTTTGTTTCAAAAATGCAATTCAATTTTAAAAATTTATTTATAAATATAATAAAATTCCCGAAAGATTTTAATATTAATAAATAAATTTTTCTTTATTTTTCATATTCTTTCATATTTTTATATGTCAGGTATTGGAAAGAAGGGTGAACCATTTAATGGAATAACCATTAATAATTTTTCCAAATAAATAAATATTAACAATACTCAATTTCCACATATTTTCTTTTGCGAAATGTTTAATAAGGTTTGTTTATCTAATTCAGTTAGAATTAGATATTTTTATTTAGAATTTATATATTGATATTCAGATGTCTGAGTTGGTGAATCAGCACCTTTACTCTATTTTATCTGTGGACAGTTTTAAGTCACACTAAAAACAGGGCATTACGGGACTTTATAATATGATGGATCTGATGTCTTTGTATCTGCCTCTGTTTATCAAATTTCGCTGTATTTTTAGGATACTGAGTGTTAGATTATTGTGACTGTCAATTGTATTGAACAGTTTCAGAGCACGATCTTTAATGTATTTTTCAACTGAATCCACTCTCAGATCTCTGTGGACATCGGCTTCTCTTACATACCATGGGGCGTTAACCAGTTTTCTTAAGGCAATATTTTGCCCTCTTTGAAGAATTTTTAAAGTTGAGCTTGGCGTTTGGCAAAACGCTATACTGCCATAGAGTAGTCCTGTTTAATAATTTGCTTAAATATGCTAACTCTATTCTTTATGTTGAGCTTTTTGCTGCTGACGAGCGGGTGAAGGGAGTGTAATATTCGGGCAGCTTGAGCTCATTTGGACTTGAAATGTGCTTTCCAGGAGTGCTTGTTATCAAAGGTTATGCCTAGGTCTTTGAGAGTATCGGCCCATTCTATTTCTTGTTCTTCTACCTTTCATTTTCTGGGAGCTTGGCGGCGCTTCCTGGTAATAAAAATTGCCCGAGTCTTTTCTGCGTTCAGTTTTATTTTCCACTTTTTAAAATACTGAACAAGCACGTCAATGTGACCCTGTATGGTATTGGAGACATTGCAGGCTATTTTGTCTGAGTACATAATACAAGTGTCGTCAGCATAGAGCGATAGCATAGAAGGCTTGAGTTTCGGTATGTCTGCAGTGAACAGGCTATAGAGCAGTGGAGATAACGGCGACCCCTGTGGTACTCCAGCCTGTATCGATTTTACTGAAGAGGTTGACTTGGAACGACCTTTCATTTAAGAAACTGCCTATGAGCTTGATGATAGATGGTGGAAAGTTCTGAGCAGCCATTTTCACAATTAGGCCCGAGTGCCAGACTTTGTCAAAGGCTTTAGCGACATCAAAAGAGATAAGTCCAGTCGACATCCTTCTTCTAAGTGCAGATTGTATATGTTGTGCTATTTTGGCCAATTGTAATTCCGTTGAGTGGTTGTCTCTGAAGCCAAATTGCTCATCAGGGATTATATTATTCGAGCTTAGGTGGTCTTTCAATTTTGCCACTTTTGTGATATACATGGGATGTTTATAAATGGTGTTTTAAAATAAATTTATACGAAAATTTCAAATAATCTCTTCAAAACACTTGTTTCTGAAGAATATTTCTTCGATCCCACACCATAATCGGCGTTTAAAACAAATAATTCCTTATTTTCTTAGAAAAAAATTTACAGAATTATTAATCTTGATTCATTTACTTATTTAAACTTTTAGAACTTTGTTGATAAAGCTATAGATATCGTGCTATTGGTTTGATAAAAATCGTTTTCCACAAAAGAATTTTTTGAGATGTGGGAAGTTCCAGATGTCACAGGATCTTAAATTTCGCAAGTAGATGGGTTGTTGGAATGTATACATGTATACATTAATTAATTGATGCTATCGATGGTCTGTGTAAGCAGATGCCAATTTTTTCTTTATAATAAGTATTCTTTTTCACGAATGGTTGAATGTATTTGGGTCCACAAGAAGTTATGCATAACAATTTAATACTATTATCTTACCAGTTTGGAGGAAATTTACCAAAACGATTTTTTTTGAAAAAGTAGATTCACTTAATAGGTATATTTAATATTTCGGTATGAATTTTTATTGTCTTCAAACTTTTTTTTTACAAAGAAATAAATTACTACAGTATTTTTGATTACTTCTATACCAAAAAATTTATTAACGCTTTAATATTAAATCTCTACATAAAGAACGCTTTGACACGTCGAAAGAAAATATGAGTTACGAAAGTTTAGTTCGTATATATGTATACATTAAGACTGAAAAGTTTTCGGAAATTCTCATTTAAAATTCGCGCGCTGTATATTTTTCGATATTTTAAGTTTATGTAGTTTGGCAGCACTGTCCTTAATTACTATGCCAAAAATGAGCTCGATCTGTCAGACAGTTCGTTTACGGCAGCTGTTGAAACCAGTTCACCTCAGTAGTGCGTTGCGAAATGTCTTCGACGGTCGTACGACCGTCCTGGAAGGCTTTGTACCACTCATAAACTTGAGTTTTCGATAAAACTGATTCCCCATAAGCCTTTTGTAGCATTCGCAACGATTCTGCACACGAAATTTCGTTCGAAACACAAAATTTGATGCAAACTCTTTGTTCAATATTTTTTTCCATTGTTTTTTTCGCAACGCCCTACTGAGGTGAACTGGTTTCAACAGCTGCCGTAAACGAACTGTCTGACAGATCGCGCTCATTTTTGGCATAGTAATTAAGGACAGTGCTGCCAAACTACATAAACTTAAAATATCGAAAAATATACAGCGCGCGAATTTTAAATGAGAATTTCCGAAAACTTTTCGGTCTTAATGTATATGAATATTTGATATAATTTTTTTATGTATTTGGTTTTTACTTATATTAATAATAAAATTTATGTATTAAGAATATGAATCCTATTATGAATAGTTCTTAAATAAGTGTCAAAATACATTGCTTATAAAGAATATTAATTTTATATAAATCATATATATTAAATCAAATATTTCGAAAAGCTACAACAACGAAAATTTTTTTCTATATTATTTATTGATTTGAATTTTTACTGACCACACAGCGGTTTCGAGTATTGCTAAATACCCATCATCAATGGTCTTGGAATTATTTCTTATATTTACTTATTTGTAAAAAATTTTTTGAGACTGCAAGTACCATGGGTTGAACTCGTACCCTGCCAGCGTTTATTAGCTGATAGTTTCTAGTTTTCTATTGTATTTCAACAAAGTACAATAGTTTCTATTATGTCATTAAAATAGTCACTGCCATCATAACTCATGTTAAATTACAATTTATTATATGAATCATATATAAATATATAATTAAAACATTATAGTGCAAAATTATCATATAATTACATATAACTTCCAGAAAATTTTACATACAGACTGAAGTTTTACATAAAAATTTTCATATTTAACACAATAAGTATTAATTTTTCCAATGTGCATTACTAATAATTGAACCGATCGATTTTGATCAGAACAATCTTAATATGATTATGTTTATATATACTATTCAAAGTCCACAATTGAGTTTCTTATAAACTGTAGTAAATTAAAATATATTTAATAAATCATATCCATATTATATTGAAAATCACATTTTCGTAATCATGACCTCAATAAAGTTGATCAGTTGCTTCATTATGCAAATAACCATTTTTAGACACTTTTTTGAATGGATTTTAGAATTGTTTTCTTTAAATATTTTATAATTGATCAGTTTAAATGTATCTCCCAAATTAATTTTCAATCAATTACATTTAGAATAACTATACAAACAATTTTTGAACATTTTTTAAATTTTAGATTCCCTTGTTACGCTAACAGATTTTCTTGTAGTGGTTCCTTGTACTCCATCTCTATCTCGTGTTGATAGGTGTAGAATAAATTAATCTACACTGAACCAAAGAATAATGTTAGTGCTTGTATTATTTCAAACTTCAAATGTTCTTCATCCTTATATACGGATTTCATCTGATTTTTCTCATTTTTTCGCTTACAGTGAGTCCAATACCAATGACGAACATAAAAATATATTGAGTTCCCTTTTTTAAAAAACAATAAAACATAATTAAAAATATAATACGTAAAATTTTTTTCGCTCTTACCTATACAAACCATTAGACATGTATCTATATCTAGTAATTGATTAATAAATTTTATATTAACAGCAATGTGAAATGCATTGTAAGCTCTTCTCTACATTTTATATAAAGAAGCAATGGCAAAATAAGGTATTTGCAGCTGTTTTTATTTATATTATTTTTTTATATTAAAAACTTAATTATTTTTTATTTCCCTTCAAATGAGGAACAGACAAAAAAATTAACAAATTACCTAGTACGTGTGAAAAGTTTTGGTTCTTTAGCTTTAAGTAGATGTTTCACAGAAATTTTTTTTTAGATTTCTTAAATTGTGATTCAAAATGCAACTTGAAAAATGAACAGCAATTTTCACTGCTGAAATCATTTTTA